CTCATATGAATTCGCTCAGCACCACAAACTAAAACTTACCTCTTGTAACTCTCCCCTGGCAGTGGAGGCGCTAGACGGACGGCCCCTTGGAGAGGGGAGGATTTTAAGCATCACCGAAGAAGTCAAATTACATGTTGGAACCCTGCACTCAGAATTCATTCGATTCTTCGTCATCCACTCGCCCAATCACACTATCATTCTAGGACTGCCCTGGCTCCGCACTCACAATCCACTCATCTCTTGGAGGGAAGGACAAATTATTCAATGGGACGTCAAATGTCAAGATCATTGCCTGTCAAAAATTACCCGAGCCTCCAGTAATGCCTCTCTATTACCTGCTCCAGTCGCAAACAATCTTCATCTGCCCCCAGAATACTCAGACCTCGCCAACACCTTCAGTCAAAAAAAAGCGTCTCAGCTTCCCACTCACTGTTCTGTTGATTGCGCCATTGACTTAATGCCTGGCACCACTCCTTCTAAAGGCAGAATTTTCCCGTTATCGCAACCTGAATCCGAGGCCATGAAGCTTTACATTGACGAGGAACTATCTAAGGGATTCATTCGACCCTCAACATCTCCTGCCTCAGTCGGGTTCTTCTTTGTAAAGAAAAAGGACGGAGGGTTGCGGCCATGCACTGATTTGGTCCCCAGAGTCACGTCTGGCCTTCGACGAATTAAAAACTCGGTTCACCACTGCTCCTATTCTCCGACATCCAGACCCAGAACACCCATTCATTGTGGAGGTCGACGCGTCTAATACCGGGGTAGGCGCCATCCTATCTCAACGTCATGGTTCCCCAGCTAAGATGTACCCGTGTGCTTTCTTCTCCAGCAAACTGACCGCCACCGAATGGAACTTACGACGTGGGCAACCGTGAATTCCTTGCCATGAAACTAGCGCTCGAGGAATGGCGGCATTGGCTGGAGGGGACCACTCACCAGTTCACCTTCCTAACTGATCATAAGAACTTGGAGTACCTGCGTTCGGCTAAACATCTAAACCCCAGACAAGCCAGGTGGGTGTTGTTCTTCACAAGATTTCGGTTCACTGTCACATACAGACCGGGTTCCAAGAACACTAAAGCCGACGCTCTCTCACGCCAAACCGAGGAAACAGTCCAAGCCACCGCTAGCGACACTATCCTTCCTGAAAGCCTTCTCGTGGCACCTGTACAGTGGGATATCATGACCGAGATCGAACATATGAACCTCCAAGATCCACCGCCTCCCGAATGCCCTGCTAATCTCACTTATGTACCAGAACCTCAACGACAGCGACTGCTCTCTCAGGTACACGTTACACCCAGCTCAGGTCATCCTGGAGTCACTGCCACAGTACACCTGCTCAGGAATCGATTCTGGTGACCCACTATGCTGACCGACACAACCAAATTCATCCAGAACTGTATTACGTGTCAGACTTCCAAATCACCCAGACAGCTCCCGGCCGGCCTGCTACAACCACTACCGACACCACAACGACCTTGGTCTCATATCGCCATCGACTTCATCACCGACCTACCCAATTCCCAAGGTAACACCACCATACTCACAATCATAGACCGATTCTCCAAAGCCTGCCGCCTAATTCCTCTACCCAAGCTCCCTACAGCCTTCGAAACCGCCGAACTGCTCTGCAACCAGGTGTTCAGATTCTATGGCCTACCCGAAGATATCGTGTCAGATCGAGGGCCTCAATTCACTTCCAAAGTATGGTCCGCCTTCTTCAAACACCTCAACGTCAATATCAGCCTTACATCCGGGTACCATCCTCAATCCAACGGGCAAACCGAACGGCTGAATCAGGAGGTGATTCGATTCCTCAGATCCTACTGTCAGCAGCAACAATCGGACTGGAGCAGGTATCTATTTTGGGCAGAATACGCACAGAATTCACTGGTGAAACCAGCCACAGGGATGACACCGTTCAGATGCATTCTGCGTTTTCAAGCACCATTGTTTCCCTGGTCTGGCGAACCCACCGACCTACCCTCGGTCACAGACTGGCTGCAACACAGCGAGGAGGTCTGGGACCGAGCTCACACCCACCTACTTCATGCTGTCAGACGACAAGAACAACAAGCTAAC